TTTCAACCTTTCAACCTAAACCCACCCCTACCCCTAACCCTACCCCTCACAGAAAACTTTCTGCATTTTTACAATTTCAAAAAAAACTTTGTTTAGGCTACTCTACTTTTATACCAGTTTTACAAATGAGGACATCCCCAAATGGAGTTTTTTTTGGCGATTTTGTCAGGTTTTGCTCACACACACACCAAAGGGAGGTTTTTGGAGATTTTGTCAGGTTTAGCTCACTTTTGGGTACAAATTTGTCACCAAAATATGGTTAAGTAGGTACACACACACACACACACACACACACACACACACTCTCTCTCTCACTCACACACACACACACACACACACACACACACACTCCTTTGTACCTTCTGATCCTCTTGCGCCATCATAGCTTCTTGCTCAATCAGCTTCTCCATCATCATCTGCTCCTGTCTTTTCCTCTGTTCATTATCCTCCTCTGCTTGCTGCCAGAGAGAAAACACCCAGCAGTGAGGCATTTGGAAGCTGTGCAACATGAGTAATCAATGCTGTCAGGGTTCATACGACTGAAGAAAGTGAAGCAGACGATGCAATGCTGTGATTGGATGAAGCGAAGCAGGTGATTGGTGGCTTTACCCTGTATGCTTTCACAAAGCGCACAAACACTGGGAAAAACACGGATGGGGGTGTTGTTTTGGAGTTCTCTCCAAAGAATTTCACCACTTCATCAAAGGCATCCTGAGAGAATGAGATACGAAAAGACATAAACGCATTCAGAATCACGTGAAGTTTAATTTCTGACTCTTCAAATTTACATTTTTAATAACAATATGATACAGGTGTCATATGATACAGTTTCCCCTTTATATGAATCAAACAGTTTAATCTAAGTCTTCTGAAGAGACATAATTGCTTAATATGATGAACACGTTTAATTTAGGCTTTTATTCATATCTGTATATACATAGAGCTCATCAAATATGGTAAAGCAAAGCTCAAATTAACTTTAAGAAAGTTGTGGAAGTTTAGATTTTAGTAATTTTGCAGTTTATTTTCAATATATGCTCCATTTGAACTGGGGAGGAACTGCTGAGTTTTGAAATGTATATTATGTTTTTATGATTTTATGATATTATCAAATGGTAAAGGAAAGAAAGATTCCTCATGATGAGACCCTTTTAACTGAGAGGGAAACCGGTTTATTGAGCTGCGTTTTGGGTGATGTGTTCGCAGCACCTGAGCGATCTTGGCATCATCCTGAAGTTTTTTGAGTTTATTCTCATGTTGCTGTATGAAATCTCTGAGCAGTGTGTTGTGGCCGTGCATGCTGTACTCTCTCCTCGTCAGATCCATGCCTCTCTGAAGCTCCTTCACGTCTAACAAGACATTCTCCAGAGAGACTACAGAATACACAGACAGAAGCCATTTAGCTGAGATCTGTTCTGTCAAACTTTGACTTTTATTGTAAATATGTGACCCTGGAGCACAAAACCAGTCATATTTATACATCAGCTGAAAGATGAATACATAAGCTTTCTATTGATGTATGGTTTGTTAGGATCGGACAATATTTGGCCGAGATACAACTATTTGAAAATCTGGAATCTGAGGGTGCAAAAAAATCTAAATATTGAGAAAATCATCTTTAAAGTTGTCCAAATGAAGTTCTTAGCAATGCATATTACTAATCTAAAATTAAGTTTTGATATATTTACAGTAGGAAATTTACAAAATATCTTCATGGAACATGATTTTTACTTAATATCCTAATTACTTTTGGCATAAAAGAAAAATCTATAATTTTGACCCATACAGTGTATTGTTGGCTATTGCTACAAATATCCCCCAGCGACTTAACTGCTTTTGTGCTCCAGGGTCACATATAATCAAACTGACGGATGACATGTTTCATACCTGCTGCAGCTTTCTCCACATAGTTCATCTCATTATAGAAGAGCGACACCTGCTGGTATTTATCCTTCACTATGTTTGCGATATAGTGCAGAAGAGTGATCTTGCGGTCTGTTGATTTAGTGTCTAATAACTGGAACAAGAAAACATGCAAACCCTCAACTGCATGAGTTATTAAATCACAAATGAAGGACATGTGTGTCATTTTACTTCAGAAGAAGAATGCAACAAGATTAGATGAAATACTCCAGAGGTATTTGGTGCAACTTACTTTCATCAGCCATTTAAATCAATGTTATTATTAAAATCTATCATGGTGGTTTGCATGTCCTATGCATGCTATAAATAACAACAAGGATTGTAATAAATGGGGGTGTTTTTTCTTGTGCATTCCTAATTCATAAGGATTGACTTTAACAGCCAATATTTGAGTTTTAGTATGTAATGCTACGTAAAGTGTACCAGGTCTAAGCTCTGCAGTTTGAAGCCGTACACCGCTCCTCTTTTACTGCTGTTCATGTAGTTTCCCAGAGCCAAGATGATCTGAGAGAGAAACACACGCTCGATAAAGACACGCGTGCAGTCCAGAGAAAAATGAATCGGAGCAGAAGTGAAACACTTACTTCCAGAATCTTCTTGAGTTTTTGTGAGGACTTGATGGAGACAGATGCTGCGATAACGGCGTGAAGTTGCTGTTGAGACAAAAACAAAAGGCAATAACAGAAGCTGTGCAAAGGTCCAGCTGACCATTATATTTGTCTTCATTAAAACTAGCTACTTTTAAAGCTAGCTTAAAAAATTGAGTAGCATTTAACATTACATGAAAAATACTCTATTCATCTTAGTTAATGTTAATCTCAGCACTTATAAATTATTACTAATACATAATAAAAAAATAAATAAAAAGTAGTTTCTGAGCTAACATGACCTTAACAAAATACAGTTGTCACGTTATCAAAAATGAATATGTACTGTAACAAATGTCTCGTTGCTAGTTAATACATTAAAAATTGTAAAGTGTTGCCAAAAATTGTGACACATCCAAAGTGATGTCATATGCACCAATTCAACTGTATGCTACAAGCAAACATTTTTTAACTCATTTCATTTGTAACTTTTTTTTCACATATTGTAGTGTTATTACAAGAAACATCACTGAACATAGTAGTATTTAAGTATTTATCTTTCATTTGTGAGTAATATAAGATCATATGTAACTACAAACCTGAAACTAGCTACATCTAGAGCTTAAATAAATCATACATTTTATTAAATAAATTTAGGTAAATTAAATAAGTTTAGATAATTAGATAAGCTTAAATAAAAGTGACCCTGGACCACAAAACCTTAAAAGTCTTAAGTGTCAATTTTTCTAAATGAAATAAATAAGCTTTCCATTGATGTATGGTTTGCTACAATAGGACATATTTGGCCGAGATACAACTATTTGAAAATCTGGAATCTGAGGGTGCAAAAAAATCAAAATATTGAGAAAATCATCTTTAAAGTTGTCCAAATGAAGTCCTTAGCAATGCATATTACTAATCAATAATTAAGTTTTGATATATTTACGGTAAGAAATGTACAACATATCTTCATGGAACATGATCTTTACTTAATATCCTAATGATTTTTGGCATAAAAGAAAAATCTATCATTTTGACCCATACAATGTATTGTTGGCTATTGCTACAAATATCCCCCAGCGACTTAACACTGCTTTTGTGCTGCAGGGTCACAAATTATTAAATTTTTCTTAAGATTATGGTCCTTTTACCTTATTTTATAACACATTTTGAGTTGTAAGCAAACATGGTTTTGCACTGTATTAATGGAAAGCATCATGTGAAGAAGGGTTATGAAAGAATTCAAGAGACAGTGAGAGGTAAAGAAACGGGTATTATGGAAAAATGAGGAGATCCTTGGGCATGTCTTAGTTATTTAAATTTGCCTGGAAGATTTGGAGCGAATACTAGAAAATCCTGCTTAATTCTTGAGCAAACGGGCTGTCAGCTCTTACGGGTGTGAGCATCTGAACACTTTCTGTGAAATTGCCCACGAACGCCATGATGGTCATCTTCTGCATGAGACGCTCGATCTTGCTGAAGTGGACCATGAAGCGATCCTCATCCGTCAGGTTCTCCAGAGGTTTGCGCTCCTTCTCGTACTGCCGGAAAACTTTCAGCTCCGCTTCCGTTGGAATGAACCTCATCAAACACTCCACGAAATCCACCGGCAACGTCCGCAGGTCAAGCCTTACACACACACACACACACACACACACACACACGCACACACACACACACACACACACACACACACGCACACACACACACACACACACACACACACACGCACGCACGCACATAGACAAACACACACATGCACGCACACAAACACACAGACAGACACGCACGCATGCACACACGCACGCACGTAAGCACACAGAGACACACACACACACACACACACACACACACACAGACAGACAGACGCACACACACATACACACACACATACACACACGCATGCACACACGCACGTACGTAAGCACACAGAGACACAGACACACACACAGACAGACAGACAGACACACACACACACACACACAGACAGACACACACACACACAGACAGACAGACGCACACACACATACACACACACATACACACACGCACGCACACACGCACGTACGAAAGCACACAGAGACACACACACACACACAGACAGACACACACACACACAGACAGACAGACGCATACACACACACACACACAGACAGAGATCAAAGCATTATCCTCATCAATCTGACGACCTTCTCTATGTTCACACAGCTGCAGTTTTCAGTCCCGTTTTGAACCAAATTTCATGGCTAATCATTAAAAAAGAAATTACAAATGAAGAAATATTTTAAACTCTTTCTAGGGATGTTGGTGATCTTTTCTGCTGTATATACTCTAGAATGTCGGCTGTGAATTACATTTGAATGGCTCTGCAGATCTCCTCTGATGCCTTGCCCACTTTTCTGAGCGTGATGGCCAGGTTTTTGGCTCTGTTGGAGTCCAGCAGCGAGACTTTAGTTGGTCCTTTCTGAGAGGTCTTCTGTTTGCTGGAGGTGATGTCTACGGCAGGCCCCTGTGCTTTCGTCTTAAACATCTCCTCAAACTCATCCACATTCAGATCCTGAAAAGACAAACCACAGTCACTATTCACCGTGAAACTCACTGATCTATAACATAACAGCCAGCCTGGAATCCTAGCAAATCAACATGGAGCTAAAGAACAAGCCAACAATTCAGTATATAAAGAAAAACAAACCGGATTTAATACAGTAAGGGCCAAATATACATATCTCCTCACATTGGGTCATTCAACACCCATGTAAATATCTGCACTATATACAAACATGTTTTGGGTCTGTAAGATTTTTTTAATGTTTTTGAATTATTCTGAGGCTGCATCTATTCCATCAAAAATGCAATAAAAAACAACAACAACAAGAAAAATGTGGTGGAAAATTATTATAATCTGTATTTAAATAAAATTATTTAAATAGCTTAAATGTCAATTTAATTTACCGAATTTTCAGCATCATTACTTCAGTCTTCAGTGTCACATGATCCTTAACAAATCATCTGAATATGCTGATTAGGTGCTCAATTAACATTTCTATTGACACCAATGTAGAAATGGTTGGACTGCTTAATATTTTGTGGAAACTGTGATACATTTTTTTTAGGATTCTTTGATGAATAGGAAGTTCAAAAGAACAGCATTTATTTAAAATGTATTTTGCAACAATGTCACTTTTGATAAATTGTCACTTTTGATACATTTTTGCATCAGAGTACACATTGTAATGCATCATAATTATATCCTCTGATGTAAAACATTATAAGAATAACCGATTCAGAGTTAATCCTGTAAAGAGTATCATAAATTACAGCATATAAAACAGAACTGGGAGTTGAACATGATCATGTATTATACAGCAACATATTACGCATGAATTATGAAATGAATGCACTTTAATGCATCATATACTGTGTATCACAAAAACAAATGTTTTGACCAAGTCTCCAAACTTGTTTCAGTGTTTTCAAAACCGTGTCTGTCTCACCTCCAGTATTCTTTCGTCATCGATCTCGTTGAACACAGTGCCGTTGATCTGATTGGGCTTCAGCGCCACCCAGTTAAACACCGGCATGCGGAACTTAGTCTTGATGGGCTTCTTGATCTTCACAGCTACACACATGACAGAAAGCACACGTCAACGACCTCATGCCAGTCACACAAACACAAGACATGCAGTCTGAGTGACGAACAGCAGGAACAGATCTGAACGTGTCCGGTGCACATTTGTGAGGGAACGTGAAACCTTTGATACTGTCAGCCATATTGGATTTTTGCCGATATCCGATAATTTAGCCGATGCCGATATATAATTTTTTTTAACAAGAACTTATTTTTTAGAATTAAATAAACTATAATAAAGTTATTTTATAACAACAGTATAATGCAGTGGTAACCATAACATTTTATTTTATGATTTAACATTTGTAAATGGTCTAAAGCAAAAGACTTGTAAAAATTCTGAAAATCATTTAGAGCTCATAATTTGTTTTAAAATATAACATATTACACATTAATGATTATAAAGCGGAGAGTTCCGGTCCTTGATTCTGATTGGCTGAGCCGCGTTCGACGCTGTTGTAAATTACTCTACAAACACACACCTTTATTTACTTCTGTGTGTTGCTCGGCAGCCACAACTGTTTCTGAGGAGCTACATTGTTTGGTGGAAGAATACTGTTTTTATGAATATCATTACACTTTATTTGCTCTGTTTTATTTTGTGAAACCTTATGGAATAACTGTTTTATAAAAGCAATAAGCCCCGTGAAGCCGTGGTTTGTGCTTCGCGTCGTGCCTAGCAACGCCCCTTAGCTGTTATAAATTCACTGTAAACCACGGCTTCACGGGGTTTATTGCTTTAATCAATCAGTATATATCAAATTATTTAATTTAAGTGTCATGTTTGTGATTTTTTTAAAATGTAAGCTATAGCTTCTGACCTTTAAATCAAAACATACTCATGATTTTATGGCATCAATTACTGCTTTATTTAATCAGAAACACAGTCTAAATATTATTTGTGTATTTTGCTAAGACCTCTATTAGAAGCAGGCCAACAGCGCCCCCTACGGAATTAAATCTCCTTACTGAGCGGGCTTTAGGACCCGAGGGAGGCCGAGATGATTTGAGAGATGCCAGATCTTCTAATCATGATAACTGATCTCTGGCTAATTTGGTTCTTCAAACGAATTTGCGGATTTGAGTAAAATATCTGGAATAAGTCGTCAACAATCAAATCCAGCTAACTGAGTTAGCGACGTACGAAGACGGACCCCTGATCAATGTGATTTTGTTGACAGGATATTCTGATCCTAAATCACACCTGAGCCACTTCTATGATAATGAGAGACTGCAGAATTACAGACTCCTAGAGAAAAGCTAAAGCACACATGGGATCTCACCAATGTCTTAATCGTGTTTTCCTTGAGAGCATTGAAATCAAACAAAGACTAGCTGAGATGGACACTCTTCTCAGACGCTTCTCCTGAGAAAAAGACATCTCACGTGTCTCCTCTAGAGTTTCAAATAAGATCTGTCTCAAACTGTGCTCAGAATAGATACTTCCATGATCTGAGCTTTTCACATTACAGTTTTTTTTCAACTGCTTACACACATTTTCAAAACTTTGCCTCTTTTTTTCAAAGCTTCACACACAAATCCAAGAACTGCACACACAAAATGCACAATGCCTCACATCTCTTGCAAAATGAAACACTGCATTCAAAACATCACAAACACATCTCAAAAGCAAACATTTGCAAACACCTTTGCCATAATATTAATTCCTGTTAGATTTTTGTGTGTCACATAGAGAATTGTGTGTTGTGTTTTGCAAAAAGTGTTTTATGAAATTGAAAACTGAGTCAAAGGCTGAGGAACCAGCGTATGGTTTTGCAGATTTGGTGTGTGCTTCTGGTGTTTGAGTGTCAGGTTTCAGAAACTGTGTGACAAGTAAAGATTTAGTGTGCAAGTAGTTGAAAAAAAAACTATTTATGAATGCATATTCTTATGTTTTATTTGTGTTTATTTTGATTTATATAAATACTAGGAGAAGGGTTAGAGAAAATATATGAAACGTGACTGAAAACTTAATTGAAAACTATGAAAGAGCGTGTCTGAGCAATATTGCCCTGTGTGTTTAGGCAATGAGACAGACGCTCATGGCTGTTCTCGGGTTTACACTATGAGGATGTGACTCAAACAGCGTCTCAATATGAGAATGAGTCAAATGTTGGGTTTCCTTCATTCATGCAGGTTCACACGTCACAAAAATAATCCAGTTAATGACTGAATCTGATTCTCTCACACACACACACACACACACACACACACACACACACAACAAATACAAATTGCAAAATGCTTGATTAAGGCTGATCAAAATCCAACAATACTGATCTCTGATCAAAGGCTACGAAGAGACTGAGAGTGGTTTCCAGTTGAGCTGAGGGTTATGGGTAATATGATGGTGTGATATCAGGCCATGCAGAAAGTGTGGCCAGAAAAACGAGAATAAACTCTCTCTCAGTGTGTGTAAAACATTCCTGAATTTACGCAACTATGGTCTTATCTGACGATCAGTTGCCCGTAACGGCACGGCACACTGTTTCAACATGCAAACACAACACAAGCAAACACTTACACAGCGGGCATGGCTTTTTTTGTCTTACTGCCTTATGATGTACATTCATTTATATAAAGGGACAATAAAAATGTTAAATGTGGTCATTTGACAAGTAATTGCATAAATGGCTAAGAAAAGTGAAGTTAGTTTTGAGGAAATCTTATTTTTTGGAAAATGCCTCTTGCTTTCATGTTTTATTATCAATGCAATGACATTCTGGCATTTGTAAGACTGACTTAAAGTCAGAAACATTCTACAGAAGTGTGTGAATACAGAAGTGAATGCTGTCCATCCTTCATTCTTTTGTGTTACTGTGACAGTAACAAGCTTTAGTCCTCAAGTGGGGCGACAGAATCACCTTTAACTGCTATTAATCAGGTACATTACTATAAATGAACATTTAACTAACTAGCTGGCTCAGCAAGATTCTCTTCAGACAGAATGTATCTGTATAAAATAAATTAAAAGTCAGATAAAACTCTTGTAAACAACTCTTTATAAAACTTTATAAGACTGATGCTTTTAGGGTTGACCAGTTTGGGGGAAATTTTTTTTTTTGAATTGTGAGTATTATTTAATAAAAAATATTAAGCAAAAATACTGTAACTATATTGTACTGTAAAAATATATATATATATTTAATAAAAATATGAATGGTATACTACAACTGTAAAATTACAATACTAATATTTACATCTTAATTCATTTTTAAAATGTTAAACTATCAAGTAGGGCTGCACAATTAATCAAATTTCTAATCGCGATTACAATTATGGATGCCACAATTACGTAATCGCTCAAAGCGGCAAGTCCACTTATGTTATTCTGCACGCTTAAGATATGTTTCTTTCTACATATTATCTTAAAGGTTTTTCCCATTATTTTAGTATAACATTATAGTACCATTCATATTTTTACTTTTTTTATAATTTAAAGAAGAAACCAATCCGATGTGTATTTGACATTTGAGGCTTAATACTATAGAAAAGCACTAAAGGTTTTTCAGTTAGTGTTTTCATCTTATTTTCATATAAAAATGCGGCATGCAGTTGTATCAAACAATGGTATAAACATCAATCAATGTAAATTGTGATGATCGTAATTAATAATCACAATTACAATTTAAAGGGAATAATCGACAATTATGATTTTTGTCATAATCGTGCAGCCCTACTATCAAGCTTTTATTTTGGCTGTGATAATTGTACTAAGCCATTTCACATTTTTTATTATTTCAGTATACAGTATTGTGCAGCCCTTCAGAGTACTGATGCAACTGTAGAAGAACACATTTTACTCTACAACAGTGATGCTAGGAATACAGTATGTATTTGTGCAACACGTTCTCACTCCCAACTCGTCACATATTGACGCTTTGCTTTTTGATGCTCAAAGTACCCCTTTAGCATCACTTTTTGACGTGCAGGGTCCTCCATTGTTTTCAGTTGTTTGTCTTAATTTAACAGTTTGCATGCATTTGTAAAAAATATTAATAATTTTATATAAATGTATACTTTCATCGGAGCACCTACCCTAAACCTACCCACCTCTGAACAATATAAAACACGTAACAGGCAAAAATAAGTGCAGTCACAGGTATTTATTGCAAAAACTGACACCAAGGGTTTCTTATTTAAAGCAACGGAGGACCCTGCATGTCGAAAAATGACGCTAAAGGGGTCCTGACCAAGCGTCAGTATGTGACGAGTGTGGAGTTAGAACGTGTTGGTTTGTGTCGTGTTATAAGTTGTGTTCTAGGTGAAACTGCGCTTGAACTGTGTTTGTGTTTACCGGAGTTCTGCAGTTCTTAATGGCAACTTAATGACAAATAGATCTGTAGATGTGGAGTTGATGTGAATTGTAGTTGTGTTTTCCATGAGGTTGCGGTTCATGGCTTGAGCTCTGGAAAAAGGGATTCTGTCCACTGTGGAGTGTAGAAATAAGAGCTTACATCTCATGGAGCATGTGGTCTCATAGGTTGGCATTACAGTCCTGTTATTTGCTGAACTCTGTAAGCGAGGTCTAAAGAATGTTCCTCTCTGGTTTTTAAACGGTAAGGAAAAGTTCTGCAAAACAGCGTGCAATTCCATGCTTAGTTTCAAGAGGAACAACCAGCAATGCAGCTTCATAGTCATTGTCAGATCAAGATTACAGAGGAACTGAGTGTGTTTTCTTAGAGACTAAAATACCATGACCACACACACATAAGCCTGAGCACACACGACATGACACGGCAAACCTACAGTACAGTTTGATGGGTCCCTCTATGGAGGAGAACAGGTAGAGCAAACATAAGCAAAGAGAAAGACGTGGTTAAAGAGCAAACAAAACACAACCTCTGATTTCAAAGATCTGATTGGCCTTTTCCTACAGTGTGCAATACTGAACCCTGAATACAGATTGTTTCATAAGGAATGATAAAGATCAATTTGAGGGAGAAGTTACTTACCAACAAACTGTGGAGTAAAACACAGCTTTTTATAAT